CATGGAATGGTCTTCATCTGGGTTTCAATGGGTTTCATCTCCCATTAGACGGTGTAGCGTACGGGTTTTGGTGGGTGGGCCTCTAGGAACCCGCTGGTCAGCTCACTATTCGCATTGGGCCAGGATGGAGGGTCGTGGCCCATCCTCCTTAATCCATAAGACTCCTGCAGTTGGTGACGTAAAAGGGCTGATGATGATGAGGGCCGTTCAAATCTGACGGACGTTCAGTTAAGCACCTCTCGGAAGTATGTGTTAGTAAACGATTTCCTTCGAGTGTGGAAAGCCGAAATTAAAATATGTATATATTTTTTTTATATCAATAAATAAAACTCCACGTATTTTCCGTCAGATATGTACCGACCGACTTTTATTGACAAAGAAAGTAATCGGACGGAAAGCGCTCGATCTCGGGAGACACCTGAAAAACGCCAAGCGTATTAACTACCCATCCCCAGGCTCATGCACTATAAAATTGAATCTGAAGCATTTAGCGTCAGTGACAATCTCTTGAGCTCTCGGAGAACTCATACAATAAGTGTTTGATCTCAGGAAACTTCTGAAGATCGCATTGCGCGTCTTACTGCTGATCGTAACATACATGCAGTATTGTTTGAGTATGAAACTTCCTTTGATAGAGAAATGCGCTTGATCTCTGAAAGAGCTCGCAGTTTGCACAATAGAGATCGCGAAAGTAGTTTCTATTATCGCCAACCCGTGTTGCGTTCATACTTCACAGGCGTACCGCAGATAAGTTTTCACAAGGTATAATGAACTGTTTTCCCGCGACTTTGCCGCAAAATTATAGCCTATGACATCCGTGATGTAGCTTCCCGTAGGTCAGAATCGCTTTGAAACTATCGGTCCAGTAGTTTTGGGGCAAATTGGATGCAAACAAACAAACAACCAAATCTTTCCTCTTATAATATTAGTATAGCTTAGGTATAAGAGGTCCGATGGCGTAGTGGGTTAGCGCATTTGGTTTAAATTGCAGTGAAATAAATATGCACCACACTGGCACAATGCACGTTAAGCCGTTAGTCCTGGCTGCATCAGCAACGTTAACACCCACACATTAAGCCGCATAGTGGGTTATGGCCCATTGATCTTATTCGATTCAATTCCATTCATAGGAAATAAAGAATTCTACTAAAATACTTCCTACGCAGACGAAGTTGCGGGCACAGCTAGTTCTTAATAAAAGAAGAATAAGAATAAGTATTAACTGTATTTAAATTAGACTGAATTTTGTGAGCCTTTGTGCAGCATTTTTAAAGAATGGAGAAAATTGAGCAACGTTGGAGTTAGTTTTTTTTTAAACAGGTATTTGATGACAGCATTAAATACCTGTTTAAAAAAAAAACTAACTCCAAGAGATTCACGAAGATATGTCAACAACATTTATTGGGGAATCTGCTCCGTCGTCATACGACTGTGAAAAAGTGGGTTGCTGAATTTAAACGCGGACGAGAGAGTATTGAAGATGACTCTCGCTCTAACCGGCCTATGACGTCTATGACTGAAGAAAACATCGGGAAAATCGGTGATGTAATATTAACAGATCGGAGATTGACCATCAGGGAGATTGCAGATACTGTTGGCAACTCGTATGAACGAACATAAAACGAATACGCCTCACGATTTCTCGCGACTGTTTGGAAATGTTTGAGGCTGATCCACAAGATTTTTTATCCAGATTTGTAACAATGGATGAAACAATGATTACACCACTACACCCCAGAGTCAAAACAGCAATCCAAGCAGTGGAAAAACGTGATGAACCGACTCCAAAAAAAGCCAAAACAATTTTGCCAGCTGGCAAGGTGATGGCGTCAGTTTTATGGGAGAAAAGGCCAGGATTACTCAGCAAAAAAGTGTTGTTCCATCAGGATAATGCACGCGTTCACACGTCTGTTGAATCTATGGTTCAAATTCGTGATTGTGGTTTTGAATTACTGCCCCATCCCGCCTATTCCCCTGATTTGGCACCTTCAGACTTTCATTTATTCTCAAACCTAAAAAAACAACTTAGAGGTCAAAAATTTCGAGGTCGAAGCTGGGTGACTTTTTTGAAGGCCTTGAAAAACTTTTTTTATGGACCGACATACAGGCGTTGGAAACCAGATGGAAGAAGTGCATATAGTTAAGTGGAGATTACGTGGAAAAATTAAATTGCTTTTGCTTATATTATTTTCTAGCTGAGGCCGCGGACTCTTCCATCCATCGTATATAACAATAATAATAACGAATCAATATCATTTTTTTTTATATAATTGTTTTACATTATATACTACATATTATGCAATTAATTTATAAAAGTTAACGAAGATACTTTTTGCTATTTAAATGCTTATTTTGGAAATAATATACCTGATATTAAAGTAAACAAGGAGCACTTCAAAGGGATTTGAAAATGTTTTTATAATTCAATTGAATATACATACCACTTTTGTGCAGTAAAGTTACGTACCACTTCTGAATTATTAAATTATTTATCCAGCTCCAAATAAAACAATCCTTTTTCTTGTTTCCTATTCTTGCTTTAAAAAGTACCTCACCTTTGCGAAATTACCCATAAACCCACTTGCCGTCCAACTGCAGCTCGAATGCCTCACGCGCCCCCTCTAGCGATCCTCCTGTTCTGTTTCTTTTACCGCGATCGTTCAGTACCCCAATAAGATACCAATATTTACCAGGTACCTATTTCAAAATTTATTTTATATTTGTAACTAAGGAAATTAAGATACTACCACCGTTCTGTTTTATCTTATATATTGCTTCAAGATTCATGCCCGTTTTCACTAACCTAGAACAAGGTACTGCTTAACTAGAAATCACTTAATATTAAGAATTAAAATTAACGGTCAAAAATTTTAAAATACAAAGTCCCTGTGTCAAAATGAAGTTTTGATTAATTTAATTGTACATTTATCCTTTTAGATGGCTTAACAGGATAATGGGGGTATGTATAAAACAAACAAATATTATTTTAACCTTTAACCTTGGACTATCCAACTTACGCAAGCTCGTCATAATCAACAATAAAAACAGTAATTTAATATCAAGTACAGTAGATACACAACACATATGATAGACAATAGTGTTCAAATATTATAAAGAAACATGACAAAGAAAGTTATGAATCAACGCTACTCAAAGTATGGCAATTGAAGCAAACTATTTATAAGCTCTCGGTTGTCTGTCTGTCTGTCTGTCACGGCTTATTTTCTTCAGCCTATGTCCCCCGCATATTATGTACCTTCCCATAATGAAGGAATTATATATTATTAATATTAATAATATGAGTATAGATTTACGTAATGAAAAAAATTGTCGAGCAAATTATCAAAATTTCCATTCCTTAGACTTAGACTTTTTTTACACTATGTTAACATTTTATGTATATATATATATTCTATTTTTTAGTGTTACCTATTATATAAAAAATGTAAATATCACTAAAAGCAAGAATTCTTTTTTTTGATAGTACGGTCTTCAAACTTTTAAAATAAGTGAGCACAAATCTTAAGTGCAGTGTTTTGATTAAGTCGCTTTTAATATTAAAATATATATGTATTTGTTACTCCGTATTATATTTGGCGATTACACATAATATTAAACAAATTCGCGTCCCGTTGTCTGTACGCCGAGATCTTTTATACTTAAAAACGGATTTAATACGATTTTCTTCAATATAAAGAGTGATTGAAGAGAAAGGTTTAAATGTATAGTACACATTTAAACAACCCGAGCGAAGCCACTGGCGAAAAGCTAGTATAACAAAATAGGTCGCAAATGGAATTTCTTTACAGTGATTAGCCTGATATAAATACGAGAAAAACGAAAATAATTCGATATAAGCCTGGAATATTTTTAATCAAGTTTGTGCGCCAATTACAAGAGACTATATTTAAGAATCCCTCTCAATTTAGCTACGGAAGGTATAAAAAAAACGTCAAGTCAAAAAAACCTTCATTTCCTTCATGCAAAATTACTAACACGACTTTTTTCACAAATTTTGGTTTTATTTATCATAGCGACAATGAAAATTACTGAAAACCAACTAAAAAATTTAGAGGAAAAAGTGACTTTCATTAAACTTTGTTTTTCCTTTTTTTTGTAGTAGTAGTAGACAAAAGTCCGCTGCATATATATTTCTTTACATATTTTTGCTTCATTAATAATTATGAGGCTATTGGTATGCAATATTCCCATGGAAATTTTCATTGGATTCAAAACAAAATTTACTTAACGCAATATACCTACATAGTAATATCGATTTAAGTCGTATTTCATTGTGAATATTATTGATATTTTACAAATATTTTTGTCCGTGTTTTTATAAAATTATCAGTTTCCGAATATAATATTAGGCAAATTTATGTATTTCATAGAAGTAACATAAGTAACAGCGTAAAAATACGTAGAAAAAAATATTTTATATGTATTTTGCTTATCATGCCATTGAGAAATTACAGGAATTTGACTTTTTTTACTTACTAATAATGCCGAAAGAAAATGTCGATGGATTAATTCATATACTAAAAAGGAAATATATGATACCCTCATCATGATAATAAAACAGCTGTTATATTTTAATGTTTGATCTCCACACTGAAAGTTGGTATTTGTAACAGGCTAGATATTAAACACCGAAAAGCATTGGGTGTTTCTTCGGCACAAAAGAATGTTTATGATAAATCAATTAACAAAACGCAAGCCACACAAAATCAACAATAAAATTTTATACTTATTTTTGTCACAGCTACTAGATGAGAGAACATTTAAAATAGTAATAATAATGAAAATAAATTAATCATAAAATGTTTATATCAAAAACCCCAACCCAAAGTTATTTATTGAAAGAAAATAAAGTAAAGAAAGAAATTATGAAATCATGCATATCCACTACTGATTGTTACATACACTGTGAATCGGATGTATTTATCAACGTTTTGGATTGGTCTATATATAATTATTACACGCCAAGTAGTCTCTGAGTGAGGATACTTTAAGTTCAGAGCGACATTTATGAGTATAAAAATTTGTTGATGCATAATTTATAACTATACATTGTAGATACAATGAAAACAATATCACTGTTCTATTTTATTCTATGCGTTGCTGTGAGATTTGCATGCACAGGTAAGTCGTTTGAACGATCTATGAATAACTCAATAAATATTGACGAAATCCAAACGGAATAACATAGTTTATGGTTATAGAAGATCATCAAACCTAATTAGCGTAAACTGCACCTGAAGTTTCTAAACTTGATAATTAAGGCTAAATAGGTCGCCCAATCCTTAACAATTATACTTGTACGATTTTTTAAGCCGAGTGACCGATAAATTTTCTTTATGAAATTAATACTGATGAAACTGATCAGCTAAATTAGTAATCATTGTTGAAGCTCAATTCTGTGGCTTAATGCACATTAGGTAAACTGCATTTAACTTGTAAAATTTGCATCTACAGAATATAACATATATAGGTGTGTGTACAGGTGTTTCCTAAGAATGTTTTTTTCCTAATGTATTATATTTTACTGTTTTCAGCTGAATTATGCACTCTGCCAGGCGGAGGGACAGGCAAATGTATTTCGATCAACAATTGCCCGACAATATTATCTTTAGTAAATGTAGCCAGAACTAACAACAAAATAGCTAATTACATAAGGAACATCAGATGTGGATCTCGTGATGAGAGAAAAGTATGTTCAGTTAAGTTTTACACGTTTGTAACATGGTAACAAAATGAATATTTGTAAAAAAAGGAAAAAACAATATTCTTAAACACTGTCATGGCCCCTTACGGGTATAGGCCTCCTCCAGGTGCCTCCATCTGTCCTTGTCTTTCGCGACGTCCATCCAGTCCCCTCCCACTAATTTTACTATGTCGTCATTCCAACGAACTCTAGGTCTGCCTTGTTGTCTTTTGCCGCACGGACCGTGCCATTTGGTGACGCGATTTGGCCATCTGTCTCTAGAATAACGGGCCATATGTCCGGCCCATCTCCACTTCAGACGTCGTGTATGTTGTAATGCATCTATTACTTGGGTTTTTTGTCTTATGTTATTGCTATTTTGTTTATCTGTGATCTTAATACCAAGCATGCTTCTCTCCATAGCCCGCTGGCACGAACGAATTTTTGACATTGTTTTATGATTGAATATCCAGGTTTGGGCTCCATACGATAGGCAGGGTAGTAGACTGGAATCCATAACTTTTTTCTTAAGGGAAACTGAAAGTTTGGATTTCATTATTTCTTTGAGACTCCAGTATTTTTTCCAAGTAATATTTATTCGTCTATCTAGTTCATCTATATGTCTTGAACTTTTGAAAGATATTTGTTTTCCTAGATAATTATAGCTGTCCACGTACTCAACAGGCTTTTGATTTATTAGGATGGGGGTTTTCTCGCCATTGGTACATACCTTTGTTTTTGAAGTGTTAAGTAGTAGGCCGATGTTTTTGCTAGCGTTGCTTAGTTCTGTCAGCATAGCTTCTAGCTGCTTTGATGACTTAGCAAACAGGACTATGTCGTCAGCGAATCTTAGGTTGCTCAGGTACTTCCCATCAATGGGTATTCCTTTTTTATCCCAGTCTAGTTTTTCCATTATATGATGCAGTACAGCTATAAAAATCCTAGGTGACAGTGGATCTCCTTGTTTCACGCCTCTACCTATTTTGAATTCAGGGCCCAGTCTATCCAGTTTAACACGACTTGTGCTATTTCTGTAAATGTCTTTAATTATATTGATGTATGTGTATGGGAGGTTTTGGTGCTCTAGTGTTTCCCATACGCTCTCATGTGAGATAGAGTCGAACGCTTTAGCGTAATCAACAAAGCCGAGGTAAAGATGTTTCTTGTATTCTTCATATTTCTCTATTTTGGTCTACTGTGTGTATTTGGTGATGAGAGAAAAGTATGTTCAGTTAAGTTTTACACGTTTGCATTAAAATTTTATATACATAACCGTTAATTCTAGCACTTGTCAACATTAAAAAGTATTCAGAATAATATCAAGCTGATAAGAGTTGATAAGTAAAAGTGTTTTATTACTTTCATTTTCACGATATCTAATGTCTTCTGAATTTAACAATTTTACCTAAGATAATGCTGACAATTACTGAACAGTAATTGACTTGAAGCTTGTAGCGCTAATGAAATCGGAGACGAGGAAATAAATACACATATTACATATTATATACGCTACAAGCTTTTCAAGTCCAATTACTATAAGAGAAAATTTTGATTATAAGTACTTTAATATTAACTTTATGAACATGTCTTGCGTAAAATTATTATTTACGTTTCAGTGTTCACAAATAAAAGCTTGTTTAAAGAATATATATATTATATTTTTATGTCAGATGTTAATATTATAATGTATTAATATGGTGATGACATGCTTTTTATTATCAATGTCGGTACTTCCATTATAGCTGATGAGTTTCTTGCTCGTTCTTCTTATTAGCCAAAAGACGTAATGACTTTGAGGGAGCTTATTTGAATAAACATATTTTTACTTTGACTTTGCTGTTGTTTACTTTCAGGTATGCTGTTCGGATTGTTTTACTCCAGATGGAAAGCCGGGTGCATGTGTGAGCATACAGGAATGCCCCAGCTTAAATATAACTAAATCAAATTACGACTTCATACGGAATTCAATGTAATATTAAAATATATATTATTATATTTATCCGTTTCCTTTGACAAGACTACTATCTATTCACACTCATGCAAGCCAGATATACTGGAAGACATTTGAAATACAATCTATATATAACTGTTACAGTTGTCTTAATGGGTTTGAAGTGTGCTGTGGACCTCCACCCTCTGTCCCGGACAGGGGTAACTGTAAAAATCAAATCAGCGCCTTCCCACCTAATCCCGAAACTGAATGCTGCGGTATCCAAGCCTCTGGACAGAACAGGATTTTTGGTATGCATTTTTCTTAATATGCATCATCTAATCTAATTAGTGGAGGTTTATTTCTATATCAACACTCAATGAATTCTATTATACAAAACCATTTCTCAACTTTAAGGTGGTACATCGACTGGAATAGATCAATATCCCTGGCTCGCTCTGTTGGAATACAAGATTGGTAACCAAATAAAACTAAACTGTGGGGGTGCGCTCATCAGTAACAAATACGTGTTGACTGCGGCTCACTGTATGAATTTCAATAAGCCGTAAGTTATACATTTCCTAAGTAACTCCTCAATTTGGATCGGTGGACGCACCAACTTAGCCAATAGTAAATATATTGTTTTGAATATCCATGCACACTAAAGTTATTATTTCATATTACGTTAGTCCCCGATATTTCAAAAATATTTGGCTTAGTAAATAGTGGTACGTTTATCCAACGCACTCAAAAGAGGGTAGATCGATATATCTGCCAATAACATCTACCCACAATAATTATCCATTGTATCACTTAACTTCGTAATGCTGGCGCTTGCAAAATTTCTGAAACATCGTGAGAGCATACAAAATACACTGCATTTCAGTTGTTTTCTTTCAATTTAGTTTTTATGGAAATGTAATACAAACACACAAAAAGATTCTCTCATGTAACTTAACAGTTACAAGTCTAGAGCACGTGACTGTTGCAAAGATGTTTCATAATTAACACGATGACCGTTATTGCAAAGTTCTGCCACTCTTAATATCGTTGACTTTATAAAATGGTATTTGCAATCTAGATTTAATTATACTTCAATACTCGTCTTATTATTTCTTAAACGACAAAGGAAACGATCAATGCTTATTTATTTTAAAAATTCATGTAAGTTATGTAATTACCCGTTACTTTCAGAGTGAGCATTCGACTAGGAGAATATGATGTCACACATGACGGTCAAGACTGTTTGGAGGGCTCGGACTGCACTGATCCAGCCGTCAGTATTCCGATAAAGGAAATCTTAATACATCCTGAATACGACAACGTACTTAAAAGAAACGATATCGCTTTGATCAGGCTAGACGGTATGGCTAACTATACAGGTAATTTTGAGAACGAAACAGCCGCGATAATAAATGAACATGTAGGGTTTTGCAGTGTATTATTATATAAATTTTTAATGTATTCTTACTTATTCCATTTATGGGAATATACCATAACTGAATAAAAAATATTAAGACATGTGGATATTTTAAAAGTATCTTTTACAGATTTCATCCGACCCATTTGTCTGCCAACATTGGATGTATCACAACTCTCACCTAATGTATCACTATATGTAGCCGGTTGGGGTAGAATGAGCTGGAACATAAAGTTCAGCAGTCTGAAGCAACATGTCAAAGTGCCAATTGTGAACATGCAGGTAGGTATAACGATCCCCTTTTGGGGGTCAATTACATAATTAAAAACTACATTATATAACATTTCAAATGAAGTTGCTTATTGTGTCTGAAACGTATTTTTTTAATAGTTTTATCATTCATGAAATATATATATATTTATATTTTATTTTACAGGACTGTCAAAACGTGTATGAGACAAGAATTGTTCCGAAAGTAAATCTGTGGAGTAAGCAACTGTGTGCTGGTGGAGAAAAGGGACGTGACTCTTGTAATGGCGACAGTGGCGGTCCTCTAATGATGAAGACATTACTTCCCAACAATTTAACAGTTATAACAGCGGAGGGCGTAGTCAGCTATGGACCACAGGTATGCGGCATTAAGGACGTACCAGGCGTATATACAAAAGTATACGAATACAACACCTGGATACGCAGACATATAAGGCCGTAAACAATTCCATCATAACAAAGATGAAGATTATACACAATATCATATAATTTTCAAAATAAAGCTAACTATATCTAGTTAACATATATTAGAAATTAGAGTTACAGAGTTAATTTATCTATATCATTTTACGCTTTTCATTCACATTTCCCAACACTATATTATTTAATAACAATCGTGAATTGGTCCCCTTACAATCTAAAAATAAATTTAATTTTCAAAATTTCCTGCGAAAACGCCACTTAACGTAGTTTTTACGATTATTTGACTTGTGAACGTAAGCAAAGAAAAATATTTAAAATAAATTTGGAAAGCGAAAAAACATGGAAATATAGGTACTCTAACCAACTACTAAAATAAAGAAAACAATTTTACTATCTCATATTCTACTGTTAATCATAATTAAAATATTTTAGGTATTTACGGTCCGTTGCACAAACATCCATTAAGGTTTAATGACGTATTAAGCTCTAAAAGGATGACATGGATTATAATTAAAATGGCAAATTGAGTTGTAAACAATGGTTACTGTAGTTACGATTTAATGCCCTATACGAATTTCCACTCCCAATTTAAGATAAACATATGCTGCCGCGCACGTTTCTTTGAGATTTTTACGTAACTTCCACCGCTTGCACAGCGCACGCATGGAAAGCTTAAATAAGTAAAATATTCTCCCGTTTTTGTAACATTCTTCATTGCTGCTCCACTCCTATGAGTCATAGCGTGATGTTATATAGCCTATAGCCTTCCTCGATAAGTGGACTCTTCAACAGAAAAACGAAAATTCAATACGTTCCAGTAGTTCCAGTAATTTTAGAGTTTTACCAAACAAACAAACTCTTCAGCTTTATTATTAGTATAGATAAGCATAAAAGTGTGGTATCGGTAATAGTATCGTATATTAAACACTAACAGAAAAATAAATGTACATATTTTCGTTTACTGTCTACATTCGTATTGTGCCGTTTCGTACCTACTCTTGATTGGGTACATTAGCGCCACAGTATGCTAGTGAACCGATCGAGAGTGCGGAACGGCACATTGCTGCAATGTCTATCGGTCGCGATTGCGTTCGAGAGTGAGGGGGCTGAACTCCTTAATAATATTATTACATATCAAAGTAGAAATGTAATTTACACTTGCTTTATACACATGCATAGAGGTGTCACACAATTTTTGTCAAACAATGACTTTTGCATCGCATTTGAGATGATCACGTGGCGTTCCATGTGATCTCTCTCTGGTAACTTTATAAAATGTACCTTTAGAATACTTCATGAAATATATTATTAAATTAAATGTTACTAATAAGACGAATATTAAGTAAACTTATTAATAACATTACTCCATCAGTGTTTTATTGTCAACAAACTCACAGATCACAAAGCAGAAAATAGTGGTTATTCACCAGAAGAAGTAAGGCATTGATTACTAACAAGCGTTTCAGTACCTGACGCGACGCGGAGGGTCTTAACAGCACACAAGTTAAGTAATCAATACTTACCCTCGAGACTCTTAATACATTTACTATTCGAAGTAAAAGGATGGTGCAACGCATTTGCGAATAAAAGGGATGTTGCAAAGCGTTCCACGATAAATGTTAAACAGTTACTGTCAAATTTGCCATAGACCGTAACTTTAACTGCTATTATGGTGCAATCCAGCCTAGGTGGTTGATATAATTGTAAAGTTTGCTCGTCCATTACTACACGACGTTGGTGTCATAATTATTGGAACGCGTTATAGTTCTGTTTCAACCAGTACACATAGCTCTAGTGATTATAAAGTGACAACGGTAGCATTTTTGAACCACAAAGGTTAACATAGTAAACTTTACGAATAAAAAAAAAAGAATTATAATAAATAAATTGAGGAATATTAAAATAGTTTGGTAATAAATACGAAAATACAACATCGAACACAAAAATCTCTAAAAGAAAACAGTTTGTATCTGTAGAGCATGTTCAGTTTTTTCTTTAACCAGAGCAGAAACTTTTTAATTCTCTATAAATGTTCAGCGTGATGTGTATGACACTCGTATACAGACGAAATCAGAATCTCTTCCTTTTTGTTTTGAAGGCGGTTAACAAACGGATGGTTAGTAATTATTTTAATTGACCTATGCCTTTTTTTCGTTAAACATCAGTTACCTCATCACAGCTACTTTGAATTAAAGAAACTATGAATGAAAATATTAAAAAGTACACACCAAGAAAGTCCTCCTCCTCCCTAGTCGTTCACTCTTGGCAGAGCGGTCGTGGTTTCACGATGATGCATTCAATTCAGATAGTGTCGCCCTTGCGATGCTTCTCCACTTGTTTCGGTTTTCGGCGTTGCGACAACATTGATTTATGGAGGTACCTGTCGCAGCCTTTATGGAATCAGTCCAACGAGTAGGTGATCGACCACGCGACCGCTTGCCTTCTACTTGTCCCTGGAAAACGAGCCTTTCCATGGAGTTTCGGTTTCGAATAACGTGTCCAAAATATCTGAGGATTCGTATTTGTACAGTCGACGATAATCTCTCTTTGATTTTGAGTTCTTCCAAAATCGAAACGTTGGTCCGATACGCTGTCCAAGGGATCCGCAGCAGTCGTCGCCAACACCACATTTCGAGGGCATCAATTTTACGTCGGTCTTTCAAGCGAACCGTCCATGTTTCCGCGCCGTATAGAAATATTGGGAAGACTAAGCTTCTCATCAGGCGAACTTTTGTGGATTTTGTGATGTTACGGTTGCACCATACTTTTTTCAGTTTGTCGACGGCAGATCTTGTGATAGCACATCTCCTACGAATCTCCACTTCACATCCACCAGTGTTCGTGATCGTTGAACCGAGGTACACGTAACTTTGCACAACTTCACAGTTGCTAATGTCGGTGATATCAGGTTGATTAAGTTCAGCTCTGTCCACGATCATCATCTTGGTTTTGTGACTGTTGATTGCGAGTCCGTAGGAGAGAGTTATTGTCTCTAGGTTTGTTAACAGTTTCTCCACATCCTCCCTTGTACGCGTGAGAAGAGTTGTATCATCGGCGTACCGCAAGTTAGAGGTCTTCTGACCTCCCACTGAAACTCCCTTATCCCATTTCTCCAAAACAATCCTCATAATGTACTCCGTGTATATGTTAAAAAGAAGTGGAGAGAGAATGCATCCCTGCCGAACTCCCAGCCTTTGTTTGAAAACTTTTCGAATCGCTGTCATCTATTCGCACTGTAGCAGTTCCATCTTCGTAGAGCCGGCGTATGAGACGGACTAGGTGGTTAGGTACTCCCATATGAATGAGTACGTCCCATAACTTATGCCATTCCACGGTGTCAAAGGCCTTGCGAAAGTCAACGAAACAGGTATAGAGTGGGATGTTAAACTCTCTAGACTTTTCGATTATTTGTCGAAGAATCAATATCTGCTCTCTCGTCCCTCTACCCTTGACAAATCCTGCCTGCTCCAGGGCTATTTCAGGATCCAGAAAAGCACGTAGCCTGGTGATCCAAGAAAGTCAGTCAGTTGCAAAAAGGCTCAAAAAGCAAAAGTTAAATATATGTTTCGCTTCATAAAAAAACAGGTTGTTATTAAACAACTAATAGCTGAAGATCGCGCAGGCTATTCCGAGAAACGAATGAAATCACTGACCACTGGATGGACCGGTCGCGTCGCAACACGAAAACTCGTTGCCCCTGTCTGTGGCGCGTCTCCATGATAAAAACTAATTTAACATTCCTAAACCATTATGCCTTCCCCGTGAGAATAAACACAGTGAGAACAAGACATAATCGAACGACCGTAACGATTAATGGGTGCTAACGATTGCAGTTGAAGCCGGGACCAAAGGCTTCAGTTGCTCTCCGAGTCACGACACAGCTCAATATTTCAATGATAATAAATTTGGTCAAAGATAATCACGCTATCAAAATCTTTTCGAAGCTCAGCATATTGAAATCATGATCTTAAAACAGTGAAATTTAATACTGAGAAGTTTACGAACGCAGCTATTGGATGCACTGAAGATACCGCAAAGACGGTGGAGTGGCCGCGATGCATGCAAGAAAAACGGTCATAGACCTGTCTACATATTTTTAGATAAATATGAATTTTATAGTAAACGATGGAAATTGGCTAATTTTTTAATATGCTAAATACAAAATTTTAGTAATATAGAATGAGTTTGTAAAAAATAATTTCAAAACACTATAAGTGTGTGACTGCAAAAAAAAATAGCTTCAAGCCGCAAAAAAGTTTTTGAAGCCTCTTGATTTTTTTTAAACGCCTTCTAGTTATTGAATATTACATCATTTTCTATTTTCGAAGTTAAAAACGCAGTATTCACTATATTGTCATAAAACTTAAACAATTAAATTAGGTATTAAAATCGATAAATAATAATTATAACATAGAGTAAGAGATTTATGACACGAAATTATTAAAATAGATTTTTTTTTAATAGTTAAAGACAAAATTACAATATTTCTATTTAAGTACGTTTAAGTTTAAAAAAATATTTTACTACGGTAAGAGACAGTGAATTCTGCATTTTCTAACTCCGGGGATTTTTTAATTTATACTCTTGCCATCTCTTTTTTGTCAATATCTATCGGAACTCGTTTAGCTATTCGTAGAACGTTTGATTTCGTCGATATCCAGTTGATGAGAAAGTTTAAGTTAAACAGTCGATTTTTTTCAACAGTCCAATTCAATTTAATTTTATACCTACCATAAAAACTTTGACATTATTCACAACACTTTTGATTCAATAATTAGCTAGAGCTAATATTTATAAAAATGCCTTACAGTCTGAATCGGTTCCGAAGGCTGGATCAATTAAATAATTAAATACCTGACGCACCGTAGCTTAGGTGGAAACAACACATCGGGGGAAGTCCTACATAATAAAATGTCACCTTTAAATATAATAAATTAATACACAATTATGATTGTTTGGTCTCTGATATGAGTCGGTCATTTCGGTTATATTCCAGACCGCATTCAATTGAATCGTTAATATTTAAAAAATATGACTAGCCCCATGCAGCTACCATCTATTGTATTGTCGTAGTAACAAAATGAAGACTGATCCTATCTTTATCATAATCCTGCGACATATAATACATACATATAAAGTGAAGTGTTACTCCTTACTTATTTTCGATGAACTATAATTTTCTTCTTTAAAAAGTAATTTTAATGGTTTATTATTTTTATCAACCGCCAATAAATGACCAAAAAGTACACAGGCAATATTATTATTTGAAATCATTAACAAAGGAATGTAATTGACAAACTTAGACGACACGTCATTTTTCTCGTACTCTGAATGCGCGTGAATAAAATTATTGAGGATATTACTTAGCGACTACGTAGCAAGCGCTCAGAACACCGCCAGCCGCCGAGGGCAATGGTCGCATGTCAAAAACAGTTTAAAGACCAACAAAACAAAGTGTTATGTGTTAACTGTTTGTGTTCCAAATTAAAAATATGAAGCTGTTACTTATAATTTCGGCAATTTTCGCAGTTATATGGAACGTAAATACACGTGAGTAGTATTTTATTACATTTACCTCCTTTCTTGTTTATTTCTACAGACCTTGAGATCTTTAGGAGCTTAATATACTTGAATAACAAGTTTTAAGTAAAAAAAAAAACAAAAAAACAAAATTTGTACACCAGACCTTATTTGATAATGATAATGATGATCCACTAGACAGTAAGATGGTTGACAAATTTTTGATAACACAGAAATTTTACCTATTTCTTAATAAATATGTGACTATAAATAAACGAGGGCTTCGCGCAAGAGTGCAATTTATACGTGCTTATATTTTAGTAGACATGATTTTTTTTTTATCGCATCGATTGGCGATTTGATATCGTTTCGTTTTACTTCTGTATTTACGCTCAGCGTTCAAGCTTTTTTTTCCAGAACGATGATTTAAGTTTCAAACGATATTAAACACGAAAGAGAAATCGCCATTAATTATATATTTAAATTTCATATTTACAAGCTAATGACAAAAAAATTAGTTAAGTATTTCACTTTCCCGTAGCTTCCGCACGATGTGCTTTTAAATACTTTCAAAGGGAGTTTTACACTTAAACATCAAACTATTCACTATTACTACACAAGCGCAATAAAGGCGAAAACTAAAATTAAAAAAAAAGGAAATGTAAGCTTTGATACAAACTACAAAAATATACTTATAGTGTCGATGACTTACTTATAGAGCATTTTATTCAAACGACAGTCAATTATGTACCATTATAATAATTAATTTTCCTTATAGAAACAGACTGTTCTTGATAAAAACCATAAGAGGAAAATAAAGTAACAGAACGATATTTTGCCTTTTGGTAAATTCCGTAATGAATTGCGAAGCGGAGGTGAAGCATAATTTACCAATTAAAATATGTTTAGGGAAAAGCAACGTAATATTGCAGTAATATGTGTGGCTTTGTTTAACAGTAGTCTGTTATGAGCAAACAATTGTTGGTTTTTACAAGCTTTATACTATATTATTTCTTACTATAAAAAGAACTTGCCATGTTAGTTTGTGAGGTCTAATCCTGCAAGGTAAATTTAACACACTTCCTTGGTCAAACTTGTGTTTATGATTGAACTGTTACTAAAATGTTAATATGGGATGGAGTCGATATGATGATGGTGGAGCAGAAAGGTAGCCGTGGAATCTCTGTAATTAAACGAAGCAACCGCATCCAATTTGGACTCGTATGATTTCTTCTAACAATTACTTTAGTTCGAGATAATATCCAGGGAAGGTCTGATAGAGGAACTAAAAGGTGTACATAGGAACTTCGTAATTAAATACCGCAACCCAATCGAGTTTGTTTGTCTATACAAGATCTCTGGTCTAATAAAAGCTTGTATTTAGAAAGTAATTTTCTATTTAAATTATTTTATTTAAGGGTTTTTTAAAAACAGTGAGGCTTTTTAGGCAGCACCAACTTATTACTATTTTTAGGGTTTCACACCTCAAAAGGCATAATATACCCCTTATATCACTTTCTCGTCTGTCTGCCTCTCCGTCCGTATGTAATATTTTAAAAGATGTTTTTAAGCGAAAATATTGAACCCATTTAGTTGAAATTTGGTACACATATGTAATATCAGTGAACTTAAGAATATTATGCAACAAAAATCTCACACACTAAATAAAAAAAAATACAATATTTTCTGATACATATGAAAGCGCTTATTGTGAGGCTCTAAAATACATATTTGTTATAGTTACAAGATAAATCGATTTGAAGTTATTCAAGCTAAAATATGGATCGAAGCAATCACAGAAAATAAATTTTTGCCATTCCATGGGTTTAAATTGTGCGGAAGCGGAACCCTCTGCGCGCATCTAACTTATTTATTTATAATTATCGAATGTCCCGCGACTACACCCGTGTAAATTATAACTTCCCGTCTATAATAATAATGATAAAGCTTCCCGTAAGTGTAAGAATTTCTAAAATCAGTCGAGTAATTTCGGGGCCTTTTGGCTGCAAACTATCAAAACTTTCCGTTTTATAACATTAGTATAGATGCATTCATTCTTTATTAAGACTCTCATATTTCGCCTTCAGTTTTGTTTGTCGACTTTGTTGCATAACTATAGATTGAATAAATTAAAAATTCTAAATGATATCAACCTTTGGTCATTGGTTAGTAATGGACTTAAATTATGCGTTTTCCTCAATAAACAAGTTTTTAATATTTTAATGACATGTCATCAGACAAAAGCAATAGACTTAACGATCACTAAGCTGTAGTGTTTTGTGATGTTATAAATCCCTATCAAAAATGAAGTCAGCGAAGTATATTAGGTAGGAATTATTTAATGTACTTACAGAAGCGAAATAGTGAAATCTATAATTTAAAAAGTAAGAAAAAGATATTTCAAGCCCAATAGTAATTTATTTACTTTATTATTGCCCGCAAGGCGGTAGCATTCTCTCCTCTTTCTATTCTTCACTCATGCCAATCGTCATTTCCAAAAATATTTCTAATAATTTTCTCATTCGCTTTTTCAGAATCGTGTAGCCCGCCTTCAGGTGGCACTGGTAATTGTGTGATTATCCAGAACTGTGCACCCCTACTCCAACTGGTGAACAAACCGAACAGAACCCCGGCCGACTTCGACACACTGAGGAAATCTGCTTGCGGCTTCGAAGGATCTTTACCAAAGGTAAATTTACTACCACCGCATCCTAGTACCTAATGATACGTAAGAACCTTCACCTTTAGCCAACCTATACCCTTTTCTGATTCTACCTGCAAAATGGTGATACACTACATAGTTTCTATTACTATTAACATATTATTATAAGAGGTTTAGGATATCTACGTAAACGACACAGGTACATACAATGTTTTGATCCCCAAGAGCTAGTCTAAATTAAATTTAATCAACTTTCTTTTTAGAAACAACAGTCTAAGCCTGCACGACATCACATGTAATAAAATTGCATATAATAATATGTGGGAAAGCGTTTCAAAAAATCTGTGTCGGTGTTTCTTAAATTTATAATAGCCATGCAAAGTATTGCATGGCTTTTGTAATTAGTAAATAACCCACACGAAGTTCTAGGTACAGAAAACAAACAGAATTATGAGCACAAGCTAAAAATAAACTCAATGACCTCGCAAGACACAATATGCATTGATAAGTTCAACGCACCATATACTGGACAGTAACAAAGCCAAGTTAATCTTTGCTATCTCATCAAAGCTATAGTTCCATAGCAAATAAATAAAAAGGCAAATAATAGATTTCAAAATAATACATTATTTTTGTCAAAACCATTTCTGATCATTTGTGCACGGATTTCCGCACGTTTGAATAACATATGCCAAACTTCTGGAACTTCATAAAAGATGTGTGAATATTAAAAAGGTTTACTGTTTATACCTATTTTGTACATATATCTAATGTGTTGTGACTGTTAATTAACTTACAAAAACTAAATAAAGGAAATATATAAAGTATACATTATTGAAGTTCAAAACGCAAATGCAACTAAGAAAATTCGTATCTTTGTAAAAGTAAAGACCATATTCTTTTAGCGAAATAAAATCTAACATGAAATGAAATGAAAATGTCTTTATTCATATAAGCTTATTATAAGCACTTTTGAAACGTCTTATTTTTTTTTATCCCTACCACTCGTTCAGGACGTCTTTTAGCTGACAAGAAGAACAAGCGAAAGAAACTTACCAGTTCTTTATCATAAGTAATGACATTTACTAACATTAGGAAAAGTTCCTTCATCAATGCACTTATTAAAATAAAAGCTAATTGATACGAATAGATGGTATTATAAATTTGATAACATAAGTTGAAACGCTCCAAAGATCTTCGGTCTTTTGACATTAGTGGAATTAAATGTTTTAATAATGGAGTTGTCGTTAACACTTAGCCCATACAAATCATACTTTTGACTTTTGTAGATGACAGGTGTAGCCCGATCACTAAATTTCTTCTTTTGGTTACTATAGTTTATTGTTTTGAGTTTAAATGTTTTATCAAATTCGCATTTTATCAAGTTGAAAAAAATATTATAGACATCATTTATTACTTCCAAATTACTAGCTGTCAAATGCGTCTGATTTGCAGAAATACTGTTTTTAATTGTTTAGTTTAAAATATTTTTTTATAGGTCTACAAATTATATCGTATTTAGGAGAGACATGATGATGCTAGAAATCCGCTATGGTCAGATCAAATACAATTTATTATCGACTTTGTAAACACTTTACGTTTACGATTTATAACAAATACGTATAAAACATCGTTTTGTGTTAATTTTCAGGTATGCTGCCCGGCTCAAACAAACACATGCACCACCCCTAACGGTGAACAAGGCAAATGTATCAACCTCTACTCGTGTCCACATGTGGCGTCTTTGTTGCGACCACCGGTATCAAAGGAGAACATGCAATTCGTTCAGAAATCAACGTAAGAATATACCTGTTTGAATCTTAACTGACAGATGACAAGAATTTCTGTAATACGTATAATTAAGTTAAATCTACGTTCTTTTACTAAAAACATACCCTAAACCTCTAGAAATCCTTAAATGATTTCCAAATTTTAGAGGCATGAGAAATCAAAAAAGGAAAGTTTACCTTTGATGAAATCTTCATTTAATATTAATCTAATGCTAATAAATAGGTAAAACTGCGAATAAAAGACAAAGAAAACTCGTTTTCCTTCATCGACAAAATTAGTCACTAACTCGTAGACTAAATAACGTCTAGGTATAGCGAATGCATTCGCGTCACTGCATTTCATTGTACGCAGATTTGTAATTGGGGATTCCCAGAGCGTCTGTAAACCATTCAATTAATTTAAAAGGTTAACATTAACTTGAATTATAAGTAGAAGCAATATAATAACTTATAAATAAATTATCATCAGGAGAACTATTATCATATCAAAACACAGAAACACAATGTGGCAAATATCTTATCAGCAATTTGTGCTAGCAACATTATGACAAATACAACATTTAACTTTAAATAAAGTTTTGTATAGTATTTACGCACATAATGATGTTAATATTATATTATACATATAATCTAAGTATGGCATAAAAACAAAGTGCGAAATATATGGAGTTAATACACAAGGAAAAGCTCCAATGATAACCAGTATCAAGAATGCCAAGGTTTACTGGAATTGTTATAACGGTGATGTTATATTGTTGAGGAGACATTGTATAAATATGGAGAAATAAACATTAAAAAGGATTATATTGCCAATAAAAATTAATAAAGTTATATTGCCAATTCACTCAATTCATTCAATTCACAAATAATATTTGACACCTATAGTTTGAGTTATTTACATATTATAATTTATCGAAGTGATCAAAAATCTTAAGACAAGACACTAGTGAAAGTTTTAAGGCTAATTTACTAGAAAAGATTTAATTAAGCAGACGTCAGATGAATAATGGACAAGGCAAACTGGCTTTAAGGAATTCGTTAAAGAAGCTCTTGACGTCAATAAGTCCAGCTAGCTTATTTGTTTCGACAAAACAACATTAACGATTACAATCATAAATGAAAAAATAATGACTTACTTAATGAAATATATGTTGTACGAGTATGTTCTAGTTTTTTTACAAAATTTGTTGTTATAAAAAACAACAAATTTTCTAAATTAGTAACAGTTAATATTTGCAAGTTTTAGAACCATGAAAATGTTGATAAAATATGCTTATAATCAATCAAACATTATAGTGTATATCTCATATACATCAGAATCTGGATTTAATTTTGTTTTACTAGCGCTACATAACAGACCCCTCAAAACTGACGAAATTCATGTGCTCCGCGATCTTGTTATTTCTATTATAGTTACACCAATATTTTACGTTACAATAATTCTAAAAAACTTCATAAAAGCCTAGCTCAACCAACAATTCAAAACAATGATTTTAATATTCATTTAGGTCAAAGATTTGGAGATATTGTGGTGCATATAAATGGTCCGCTTTAAATATTGACCATTTTTGATATTTCATCAACAGATGCCAAGGACCTGATCAATACAACGTCTGTTGTGGAAGCGGACAGCCGGTGCAAAAAGGTAACTGTGAAACAAGACTTAGCGCATCACCACCAGACCCAAGGACCGAGTGTTGCGGTGTAGACAGCGGCTCTAGCAATAAAATTACTGGTGAGTTACATTTTGATTATTTAATACTAAAAACGGAATTGCTACCATGTATAAAGTTACGTCTGTAAGTAAAAATAGAAGTTGACAATTGATTGTTCTTGCTAATATTTGTATCCTAGCAAGAAAAATCTACTTCACCATTCACATTTAACTTGGAAAAAATATTACTCTTCTTCTAATACTAGCGATGAGAAAAAAATTCTTGTATTTTTTCTAGGTGGAACGGCGACCTCCATTGATCAGTATCCATGGTTGTCTCTAATCGAATATGTGAAAGACAACCGAATCAAGTTACTGTGTGGTGGTGCTCTGATCAGTGGCAGATACGTCTTAACTGCCGCGCATTGCGTCGCTGGTGCCGTCCTTGAACTTGGTACACCGTAAGTTTCTTCAGAATTTTATTTATTACGTAGGTAAATCCATACAATTAAAAGAGCAATTTTGGATTTGCGAGATACTACGTGTTTGCTTTCCAGGGTCGACATGTAACTTTTTCTAAAACTTTGTATATAGCGACACATACAAGTACTATTAACATAAAAATATTAATGTCACACGCTCCGCTCTTCTATCTATTAATTTGTTCTTCTTCTGCATGATTCATAAACAAATTCACCCTAGCAGTTTTAATATTTCGCGACACAATAGAAATATTAATGACTCCAAATTAAAATATCGCTTATAATGTTACAGTAAGAATGTTCGCCTCGGTGAATACGACACAACAAATAATGGACAAGACTGCGTGCCAGTAGAAGGTGGAACTGGAGCGACTGATTGCGCTGATCCAGTACTTATCGTCCCCATTGAAAGAACCATACCTCATCAGCAATACAGTCCTCAAACTAGACGTAACGACATCGGTCTAATCAGGCTAGCCCAACCTGCGCCGTTCACAGGTATCGTACAATTAAGTTTAATGTAAGAAAGACTTATGTTAATGTAAAGACAACAAACCTTAGTAAACATAAACATGCAAAGTAAACTTGCTTGCATGTTACGATAAAAAGTGTTTCTTAAATATCATCTAAGGATATTTTATATAGAAATCAATTAATCAACAGATTTCATCAGACCCATCTGTCTACCAACCTCCGACCAAACCACGTCTCCTCCGAATAACTTCAAGCTTTACGCCGCCGGCTGGGGAGCCATCAACGCCACACACTCCAAAAGTAATATTAAACTACACGTCGATCTGCCTTTCGTCCGACAGGATGTAAGTAAAACATAATTATTTCACCAAACAAAAGCCGATGCAGACGGATGCAAATTTATTCAATTTCGTATCTGAAAAATTTTCTTCGTATACCTTTAGCTACATCTCTCTCTATCCACATTCATACTAATAATCCCCAGTCTTTAAAATTTCTTTCAGTCTACATTCCAAATAAGAATAGGATGTTATGTTTTGAATAAAATCTGGGATCTTAAAAACGCAGGCGTTACTGTATGAATAGTAAAAGTTGAAACTAACATTGAGTGCATTCTATAATTCCTGTAGAAGGAGGCATTATTAATACCAATCACAACGTCAGCCTTACTGAATATCAATTAAAGTTAAAAAAAAATCATCACTAGTTTGGATTAAATAATATTATATTATTTCTCTAGCAATGTCAGGAGGCTTATAGCCAATCAAGACGCAAAGCGGCTCTTTGGCAAGGTCAGCTCTGCGCTGGTGGAGAGAAGGACAAAGACTCGTGCAAGGGCGACTCCGGCGGTCCACTCATGTATGAGAACGGTAGGACTTGGGAGATAATCGGCGTCGTGAGCTTCGGCCCCACACCGTGCGGTATCGAGGACAGTCCCGGTGTTTACACCAAAACATATGAATACCTAAACTGGATACGCAGCAATATCAGCCCTTAATTCATAATAAGTCTGTAATTAGGACACCATAAATTCGACTTTCAATAACCGAACAGAGTAATTTCGTTGATCGTTGTTTGTTGTTACAGAAAGTATAAACTTTCAAGAAGTTCCCTGTTTATATTACTTGGAAATTTTGATCTTATGAGTACCTATACAAAAAAAGTAACATTTATAAATATTGAATGCAGAAACTTAAAATTATAATTATGCTTAAATTATTAGGCTCCAATATTTTTGAATTTGCCTAAAAGTATTAATACTAAATAATAAAAAGTTGATCTGAAGATAACAAAGTCAATTTAATATCTAATTAGCATTCAGACATTTACTTTAACGATCATTGATTAAATCTTGTTTTAATGTGAAGAAATCTAGTTGAAGACTTAAATATACCTATTGAATCGATCGATGCTCAAGAATTTAGACTGGCGATATAATACATACATTCAGCAACGAATATTTATATGTAGGAAGCACCAATGTAATTGTTATATGCAATGCGATAACCCTTAGAATGTTGGGGCAATTTTCGGAAAAGTTTCGCCGTTGAGTGCTCTAAACAAAAACATGAATTACCATCAATACTGTTGGTGAAAGTAATATGGAACACACGTATCCTCAACACACATTTAGGGGGATAATTTGCAAAAAAAGAACTGACCTTAAGTAACTTTCTAATCCATCATATTTATAAAATAAAATAGTATAAAATTTAATAGTAAAAAATTCAATACCATAAATGTTTTAACATATAAGTATTCTTTACTGATTGAACTAACATAGTTTTAAGGTTATAATAGGATTAATTAACTGAGATTATTAATTTAAAAATAAATCTTTGTGAGTATAACCTTTTTTACTTAAAACAACTGCATAATAGACGTTTGTGAAAGTATTTAGTATACTGGCAGTCAGGAAAATTAGGATAACAATAGTTAAAAAACAAAAAAGCTTTAAGTGTTGTAATTTATGGTGTGGAGGACACATATCTTAAAGGATGTGTCAAAGTACTGGTATATATGTTGTCTATTGACAAATCTCGATAAGTATAAATTTACGAATAATCAATACAAACAATTAAAACGTCAAAGAAGATATGATAATAATAGACCTCTTCATTTTTATCAAATCCTCTTTGACGGTATTAAAAGAATTTAAGTTTAAAATGGTATATTTCCATTTTAAAACAACAACAATATTATTTACGCATCTACAAGCTTTCAGGTGATAAATAAGTCGTTTTTTTACCACACCACAAAAAGAAAGTTAAGAATAAGAATCAATATTTTTATAGGCTCACCCCTGGCATTGGTCGCGGCATCAGCTATTTTCTGAAACGCATCCAAAAACGCTGCAATCGCGACGAGGGCTGATCTGAAATGATAATATTAAAATCAACATTTTGCATTCTAACCATTAACAAATTTATTTTCTTCAATCTCAAAAGGTCCATATCCATTATGGATCAAGATAGGTATTCTGACATGGCCTAATTTTTCTTTAAAAAAAAATACAGGAAAAATCAGTAATCAGTCCACAAACTTTAATATTGTGTTTGTTACTGTAAATGTTATTTACGTCTATTTTTTTACTTATTGGACATTAAAAGGAAGAAATATCTATTAAAAAAATAAGGTTTTTTTTAAACATGTTTAATAAATATCGTTAATAGAACATACTCGAAAGAAGAATGAAAGTAAAAATTACTCTCTGTTGTAACGTAAGTCTACATATTTAGGTCATAAGTACAATCACATCGTAACAGAGGTTAACTTTAAACAAAATTATCATCATGAAAAAACGAGCAACGGGTGATTATCCTCCGTTATTCATGACTTAACTGGGAGTCACATATTCGGTTTTACCGTGTGTGTTCTTAGAAGGTGTAAAAACTAACCAATGCCATTGCATATCAATATAGGTACAAGTCTCTAAAATATTGTAAACCCTTTTTAATAAACCAACTTTGACCAGGTTTAAGTTAGTGTATTTATATAGATTTCCCATATTTCTAAACGTTTCTGTTAGTTAGTTTAGACCCCGTAATTGTAAATAGGTTTGCATTAGATAATAATACCGTATATAAATGAATTAAGTCTCACATTAATCTCGGTACTTGTCTACTCAAGAAGCTCTACCATAGATGTATTACTCACAAGGAAATAGTTTAACAGAATTTTAATTGACTCTGTGTCATATATTCATTTCTATATAGAGCTATCAAAGACTTAATTATCTTTATCCATGACAACATAGTGTGAATATGACGCAGCTTCAATAATTGTTATGTGGTTTCGTTTTGATTTAATACACACTCTTATAAAATTAACTATTACATAATAGTAGTATAAAATTTAAAAAAAAATCCAGCCTATCAGCATACACTTAAGAAGCAATATTCTAAAACAAATTTAATACCTATTAAAATAAGATTTAGAACCAAATCAATTACAACTTAAACTCGTCTCAATCAGTTCTTAGTAATTGTAATATATTCTGTACAAAATGTTAATTAAAAAAGTATTTATAATTACTTTAATGCCGAATGAAGTTTCGTCGCCTTCGATATAAACTCCTCCCACATCGGCGCGCTATTCTGTAACAATAGAAAAAAAAATTACATAGTTTATCATAGTAAAATTACATAGTGACAGTTTCATTATATTAATAGATATCACCGTTACATTTGACAAAACTGCAAGACAACTTTCTTTACCGACCGTACCTTTGACAACTGAATAAAAATACCGGTTGTTAAAGATAATTAACCAGGTTTTTGGTAAATAGTAGTTCGAAACGGAATCGCTAACATTGTAACCACTGGAATTAACGTGGTTAGTTCCTTTCGAGATATCCAAATTTTCTAGTGACGAATGATCGATTTTCATTTACGAAAAAAATATAGAGAATACGATCAATGGCAATACCGTGCACACCATACATGTAAATAAGCACTGCAAACCCTATCCAACTTAATTTTACCTAAATAATCATACATTGGCTCAATACGGTTATTCACAGACTCATGATCATGATTTAGTTAAACTAGTAAAAGTGCCATCTATTAAAAAAAGAACTACTATAACGTTCTAGTTAGCGTAATATTTTCAACCGATTGCTACGGTGGCGCTGCCGCCACCGATGCGGACGTAAGCTGCACTTCTTACAGCTTATTCGCCAAACAAACTTAACAGGTCAAAACTATTGTTGTACACAGAAGATGTTACTTGTATATGTGTGTAAAATTCATACATGTGTTACGGTTATGAGATTAAGAAGTCATCGATATAACGTTTGCGTGAAGCGACAATTTATTTGGCCGGGTGTATCGTTTAAAAATTTTGTTTTAATTGCTTTTACTGAGCGCAAGTGATTAAGTTGTAATTCATTAATCAATCTAATTACACCGTGATATATTAACCGTGTATTGCGGAAAATTATAACTGTGAGCTGCTCTTTCTACTCTGTGTTCATGATAAATTAAAAACGAATACATTTTAGTTGTTCTTTGAATAAAAAATAGAAATAATAGCAAATGGAAGGTGTGTGCCCGAATCCGATTTAACTAAAACTAATATCAATCGTTCTTTAATCAAAATTATAATAAACTTTTAAACTTTCGTGTTGCATTATATTAGATTGTATAAGACAAACGTCGGGAAATATAGGTAGGTGAAAAACCTAACTATCGAAAAATTTAATACCAGTCTTATACAATATAAAATTGTAATAGTTTTAATTAGATACCATTCAAAATTCACATACATATAATTTAACAACTATATATCCTGAAGTTTACAAGTTATCAAAACGAGTAGTTACGAACTTATGATAGGTACCAGCGAGTAGCGCATCAATCGAACGATAATTTTCTTGCTTCAAAGAACTTTTAATACAATCTTAATATTTTTACGACGACTGAAAACTACGTACTTGATTTAATTTATAAAAATTAAGGGATCGTTTAGATTCATACCAAGTGTTTTGTCGGTCGCTGACTGTTTACGTGTCTGAAATAATACGTATTAACAGTTCAGTAGTTCTTACTATTTCGATAAAACGAAATTAGTTTTCGGTAATTTATTTCGATGGTACAGATATTAAATGATCATTATTCTGGCCAGGCCAGGCCATGTGGTTAAACTATGCTGAAAGCTGATATTTTTTTTTCAATATAGATGAAATGCTGCATACCCTACCACAAATCTCTGTGCACGCTCCTGAGCAATGAGCGAAGTAACCGAAATCAACGAGCGAAATTAATCGGTATTTTGAGCGGAAGCTACATATTTGTTTCGATCTTTAATCAAAATTGTAATAACTTCGATTCTGAATAACCGAAACCCAAATGAAAACTTTCTCATTAAAGATGTATGGAGCCACTACTTATGAGCGTGTTGATGATAATAACTAGGTTTCCGAGCCCTGGTAGCTTAACCATTAATCAAAGACCACAACTGCTTCCGTACATGGCTTACATTTCCAATGGAGCCATTTTCTATATCTTCTCTTACTACCCTTTTGTATTAATTCGTCTGCAATTATTTTCAACGGCATAAACTGTCAAAAGTGTAGTGTAGTGTAGAACGCTGCAATCACTCAATCGCATTTAACAATATCTTCTAAATCGCGTCCTATGTTAAAGAGTCGGTACCAGATGGCCATTGTGGAAGAACCGTGTGGATTTCTCATGTGTTTAATGAGTCACTATCATTTACTTGCCAGTTTGTGTCCGTAATAGTAACTAATTGCTTATATTCAATTTATTATTGAAAATAAAAAAAAAAAATAACACGACTCTGGGATCTTAGCGCCCTAACATCGCCACAATAATCGAAGGCACGACGGAGATTACAAGATCAATCAATTATCAAAACAATCCACATAATTACAAGACGTCATTGGGGTATAACTGATGTGATCAGACGTCCCGTTTTGAATGGGACCGTCCCGTTTTGAATGGGACCGACCCATTTTTTGGGTGTCTGGCCCAAAGCCAGTGTCGGCCACCGGGCCACAAAATGACCATTTTTCTTAAAAAGCACGAAAATTATTGTCGGCCATACACTATCGGTTGCCTAGCAAAGCGAGGAAGATAGTAGGATAACAGGACTGCATTAGGGCGTGTGCACTACTTTATGATCAATTGACATTCGTTTTAAAATCAATAAATTATGTCACGAGATTTTTCTCTACGTTTAATTTTTGGTCACCCATCCTATGAACGGCCTTTGCCTAAAATTACTTAACAACCTTATTGCAGACCAAGCGCGATAGACAATACACCATCGAACTACATATAGGTACTGCATATTAAACCAAGTTAGTGGTCCATGGCAAGTAAAGAATTTGCCAAGCGGTCCCTAATTTCATATCTGAGAGGAGGAAAGTAAAAAACCACTATTCTACGTCAACGTGAACACATACCCCGCAGGTAAACAATTTGTCTATTTGGTTATAACGTCATAAGTATATCTTTCATGACATTATTTTAACTGGAGATCATTACTCGGAAGGTAATAATTGGTAATAATTTCACCGAGTGAATCTTAAAAAAGAATCATTATTCTACCTCGTTGTATAGTATACACATTTGTAAAATTTCTTCGCTTGATTACAAACCTTAATACATTGAGGGTATAGTTCAATGCGATTGACATATTGTAACTTGACTTGCAGCCGTGTTTAGGTACTTTTCATATATACCGTAACATAAATCCATTGTTATGATCTTCATAAAACGTTATCATTTCATTGCTGTAAATGAATTAATGATTTAGCATTACTGTCTCTTTCATACTAGACACAATACATAATTAATGGGTCTATGATACGGTCTTAAATA